TTTACTGTACTGTTCACATGAAAAAATTGATATAATATTTTATTTAACAATTTGAAAATGTGCTATTAATTATCTGTCTGCTGTTTGTGTTAGGTTTGAATAAAAATAGTGAATGGTGTTTTTATTATTGAGAACAAGCCGTGGATAAAAATCTATCTTTACATTGTAGACAGTGTAAATAAATTTTGATTTTTGAATAAAATGTGTACAAGTAAAAAAATGAATTTTTATTCATTAATGCAACTATTACTCATCGAAATATAACTGAAACATATAACTGTAATTTTAAAATTCGTAAGAATCATCTAGTATCCAATAACTAATCTAAATTATATCTAAAAAATTACTAATTAAATTACAGAAATAAAATCAAATGATAAAAGAAATATTGATTAATCTACATCAACGAAAGCTATAAATCATAAATAAATTTTGTTTTTTTTTGTATAAAATTTGAACAAGTAAAAAATGTAAACCTTATTCATTAACAACTATTACTCATTTAAATATTGCTTAAGTATGCAATTGTTATTTCAAAACGCAAAAGAATCACTTAGTATTCAATAAACTTTTCTAAATACTTATATTATTAATACAAGATATTTATTGCATGCTTATTTACACGATATTTATTGCACATAAATTTAAAAATTTAAAAACAAACAAATCTGCATGGCATGCCTCAGCATTTAAATTTTTCCATATTAAACATTAATATTAGAATATGAATAATGAGATTTATAATTCTATAATATTTATAAAAATATGCTAATTACTTCTACCTTTTTCAAAACGGCTACATTTGGACTAGTAAATCAGATCTAAGAATAAGTTGAAAAATATTATTAATAAATTGAGAAAAGCGCGCGCACGCACGCACACACACACATACTCACCCACACACATACGCACAAACTTTCAGCCATATTAAAATAAATATTAATGAACTATAATAAAAGTCTTTTTTCGAATTGCAGCAGAAGAAACTACTCCGACTGCAACGAGTATACCAACGGAAATATCAGGTACTGACAATTTATTAATTTAAAAACAGTTTAAAATGAAATATATACAATTGAAGAAGTGTCCTTTTACAATATAAATTATTTGAATTTTATTTATGAAATTATTTTTATCCTTTTTTAATTTTATTATCTAAATTATAACAATGAAATGAAACTTATTGTTTTACTGTACTGTTCACATGAAAAAATTAATATAATATTTTATTTTACAATTTGAAAATGTGCTACTAATTTTCTGTCCGCTGTTTGTGTTAGGTTTGAATAAAAATAGTGAATGGTGTTTTAAATTAATTGAGAACAAGCCGTTGATAAAAATCTATCTTTACATTGTAGACAGTGTAAATAAATTTTGATTTTTAAATAAAATGTGTACAAGAAAAAAAATAAATTTTTGTTCATTAATGCAACTATTACTCATCGAAATATAACTGAAACATATAACTGTAAATTTAAAATTCGTAAGAATCATCTAGTATCCAATAACTAATCTAATTTATATCTAAAAAAGTACTAATTAAATTACAGAAATAAAATCAAACGATAAAAGAACTATTGTTTAGACTACATCAACGAAAGCTATAAATCATAAATAAATTGTGTTTTTTTTTTGTAAAAATTTTAACAAGTAAAAAATGTAAACCTTATTCATTAACAACTATTACTCATTTAAATATTGCTTAAGTATGCAACTGTTATTTCAAAACGCAAAAGAATCACTTAGTATTAAATAAACTTATCTAAATACTTATGTTATTATTACAAGATATTTATTGCATGCTTATTTACAAGATATTAAATGCACATAAATTTAAAAATTTAAAAAGAAACTAATCAGCACGGCATGACATGTTGCCTCAGAGTATAAATTTTTTAATATTAAACATTAATATTAGAATCTGAATAATGAGATTTATAATTCTATAATATTTATAAAAATATGCTAATTACTTCCACCTTTTTCAGAACGGCTACATTTGGACTAGTAAATCAGATCTAAGAATAAGTTGAAAAATATTATTAATAAATTGAGAAAAGCGCGCGCACGCACGCACGCACGCACTCACCCACTCACCCACACACCCACGCACACTCACACGCACAAGCTTTTAGCCATATTAAAATAAATATTAATGAACTATAATAAAAGTCTTTTTTCGAATTGCAGCAGAAGAAACTACTCCGACTGCAACGAGTATACCAACGGAAATATCAGGTAAGGACAATTTATTAATTTAAAAACAGTTTAAAATGAAATATATACAATTGAAGAAGTGTCCTTTTACAATATAAATTATTTGAATTTTATTTATGAAATTATTTTTATCTTTTTTTAATTTTATTATCTAAATTATAACAACGAAATGAAACTTATTGTTTTACTGTACTGTTCACATGAAAAAATTAATATAATATTTTATTTAACAATTTGAAAATGTGCTATTAATTTTCTGTCTGCTGTTTGTGTTAGGTTTGAATAAAAATAGTGAATGGTGTTTTAAATTAATTGAGAACAAGCCGTTGATAAAAATCTATCTTTACATTGTAGACAGTGTAAATAAATTTTGATTTTTAAATAAAATGTGTACAAGTAAAAAAATGAATTTTTATTCATTAATGCAACTATTACTCATCGAAATATAACTGAAACATATAACTGTAATTTTAAAATTCGTAAGAATCATCTAGTATCCAATAACTAATCTAAATTATATCTAAAAAAGTACTAATTAAATTACAGAAATAAAATCAAATGATAAAAGAAATATTGATTAATCTACATCAACGAAAGCTATAAATCATAAATAAATTTAGTTTTTTTTTGTATAAAATTTGAACAAGTAAAAAATGTAAACCTTATTCATTAACAACTATTACTCATTTAAATATTGCTTAAGTATGCAACTGTTATTTCAAAACGCAAAAGAATCACTTAGTATTCAATAAACTTATCTAAATACTTATGTTATTATTACAAGATATTTATTGCATGCTTATTTACAAGATATTTCTTGCACATAAATTTAAAAATTTGAAAAGAAACAAATCTGCACGGAATGCCTCAGCATTTAAATTTTTTAATATTAAATATTAATATTAGAATATGAATAATGAGATTTATAATTTTATAATATTTATAAAAATATGCTAATTACTTCTACCTTTTTCAAAACGGCTACATTTGGACTAGTAAATCAGATCTAAGAATAAGTTGAAAAATATTATTAATAAATTGAGAAAAGCGAGCGCACGCTCGCACACACTCACCCACACACCCACGCACACACACACGCACAAGCTTTTAGCCATATTAAAATAAATATTAATGAACTATAATAAAAGTCTTTTTTCGAATTGCAGCAGAAGAAACTACTCCGACTGCATCGAGTATACCAACGGAAATATCAGGTAAGGACAATTTATTAATTTAAAAACAGTTTAAAATGAAATATATACAATTGAAGAAGTGTCCTGTTTCAATATAAATTATTTGAATTTTATTTATGAAATTATTTTTATCTTTTTTTAATTTTATTATCTAAATTATAACAACGAAATGAAACTTATTGTTTTACTGTACTGTTCACATGAAAAAATTAATATAATATTTTATTTAACAATTTGAAAATGTGCTATTAATTTTCTGTCTGCAGTTTGTGTTAGGTTTGAATAAAAATAGTGAATGGTGTTTTAAATTAATTGAGAACAAGCCGTTGATAAAAATCTATCTTTACATTGTAGACAGTATAAATAAATTTTGATTTTAAAATAAAATGTGTACAAGTAAAAAAAGGAATTTTTATTCATTAATGCAACTATTACTCATTGAAATATAACTGAAACATATAACTGTAATTTTAAAATTCGTAAGAATCATCTAGTATCCAATAACTAATCTAAATTATATCTAAAAAAGGACTAATTAAATTACAGAAATAAAATCAAATGATAAAAGAAATATTGTTTAATCTACATAAACGAAAGCTATAAATCATAAGTAAATTTTGTTTTTTTTTGTATAAAATTTGAACAAGTAAAAAATGTAAACCTTATTCATTAACAACTATTAATCATTTAAATATTGCTTAAGTATGCAACTGTTATTTCAAAACGCAAAGGAATCACTTAGTATTCAATAAACTTATCTAAATACTTATGTTATTATTACAAGATATTTATTGCATGCTTATTTACAAGATACTTATTGCACATAAATTTAAAAATTTAAAAAGAAACAAATCTGCACGGCATGACATGCATGCCTCAGCATTTAAATTTTTTAATATTAAACATTAATATTAGAATATGAATAATGAGATTTATAATTCTATAATATTTATAAAAATATGCTAATTACTTCTACCTTTTTCAAAACGGCTACATTTGGACTAGTAAATCAGATCTAAGAATAAGTTGAAAAATATTATTAATAAATTGAGAAAAGCGAGCGCACGCACGCACACACTCACCCACACACCCACGCACACACACACGCACAAGCGTTTAGCCATATTAAAATAAATATTAATGAACTATAATAAAAGTCTTTTTTCGAATTGCAGCCGAAGAAACTACTCCGACTGCAACGAGTATACCAACGGAAATATCAGGTAAGGACAATTTATTAATTTAAAAACAGTTTAAAATGAAATATATACAATTGAAGAAGTGTCCATTTTCAATATAAATTATTTGAATTTTATTTATGAAATTATTTTTATCTTTTTTTAATTTTATTATCTAGATTATAACAACGAAATGAAACTTATTGTTTTACTGTACTGTTCACATGAAAAAATTAATATAATATTTTATTTAACAATTTGAAAATGTGCTATTTATTTTCTGTCTGCTGTTTGTGTTAGGTTTGAATAAAAATAATGAATGGTGTTTGAAATTAATTGAGAACAAGCCGTTGTTAAAAATCTATCTTTACATTGTAGACAGTGTAAATAAGTTTTGATTTTTAAATAAAATGTGTACAAGTAAAAAAATGAATTTTTATTCATTAATGCAACTATTACTCATCGAAATATAACTGAAACATATAACTGTAATTTTAAAATTCGTAAGAGTCATCAAATATCCAATAACTAATCTAAATTATATCTAAAAAAGTACTAATTGAATTACAGAAATAAAATCAAATGATAAAAGAAATATTGTTTAATCTACATAAACGAAAGCTATAAATCATAAGTAAATTTTGTTTTTTTTTTGTATAAAATTTGAACAAGTAAAAAATGTAAACCTTATTCATTAACAACTATTACTCATTTAAATATTACTAAAGTATGCAACTGTTTTTTCGAAACGCATAAGAATCACATAGTATCCAAAAAACGTACCTAAATACTATCTAAAAAATTACTAATAAAACTACAGTTGAGAAATCAAGTTATAAGAGACAAAATGAGTTAAGCTACATAAAAGAAAGCTGTAACTCGTAAATAAATTTTGATTTTCGTATAAAATGTGTACACGCAAATACAAAATGAAAATATTATGCAATTATTACTCATCTAAGTATAACTAGAACATGCAACTGTTATTTAAAAAATAACTAACATAATTACAGTAATCAAATCTAATCATAAAAGACAAATTAATTTTCTTATTTCAGAAATTTGTTAAGAAAAAGAATTTCTTACTTCCAGCGTTGTTGGTGCATTGAACTAAAAAAAAAAAACGTGTGATCAGTATACTTGATTAGCGTGGTGAATGTTTAACAGTTTTTTTTAAATCTTTAAATTTTAAAAGATTAAAAAAAATTAGTAGGGCATTTTAATACAGATAGTCCAATGAAATTTTTGAAGAATTTCTCAATACTAAAATTTAAATTCGGATTTTAGTTATATATATATTTAATTAAATAAATGAATACACAAATTAAATAAATAAATAATACATAATTAAATAAATGAGTAAGCAAATGAAAAAAATAACTGAACAAATGAAAAAATAAACAAATTATGTAAAAATCTAACTTTCAATCACTACGTAAGCACCAAGCACTTAATATGAAAAATTCTATACTGTTACGCAGGTATTTCTGCTTGTTGATAGTAGCATACTAACTGTAGCATAGATAGGTAGATAGATAGTAGCGTAACATACTAGCATATTACCGCAGATCACTTGTAACAGCAGTCGCCATTTTGAATAGCATCATACAAATTCTAGGGTTATTGTTCATTTTAGGCTTTTTGCATTGTGCATACATACTTTTAGACTAATTGTAAAAAGCATGATTCATTGCTCAATTTGCCTGTTTTATTTCTAACAGTTTGGAATCCGTCTAAAGCTCATTATACTTCGCCTTATTAAAAGTCTATTGAAAAAGAAAAAGAAAAAAGAAGAAAATTCTGTCTTCTGGGTGATGCTTTGCACATTTCCTTATTATCCTGAAGGCATATAAACTGGTTTTAATAAGCCTAAAATAGAAACGAGATTTGAAAATATTGAACACTTCAGTACCTAGACTACTGAACTGTAAATTTTTGAATTATAAATACATGAATTAGAAACTAAGTATTTGTAATTAGCACTAGCAATAATTTATTGATTTTTCATCTAGCCTACAATATATATACGCGATGATGCAATGAAAATAAATGTTTTGCATACATTTATTTTTCCCAAAAAGTCCTACAATAAAAGCTATAAAGCCCTAAAATTATTGTTTTTTAATTGAATCTTCGTGCACCTCAAATTATGAGCAAATTTGTAAACCAAAGAGGCTTATATATGCTTAAATCATACGTACATACGTTGAAAATGCCTCCTAAAGCAGTTTTCTTTTACCTATCACATATTTTTTTGACAAGTTAAGAGTCCTGCAATTTAGAATTCTGGTACAGATAAAATATTGAAAAAATATGAATATTGAATCTTAAATGAAAACTAATAAATTCAATTGGCCTATTCTTTATCTAGTAATTTAAAGCCATACTTAATTTCACTCGTATTTTAAACGTAAGCATTGGTAAAGGTCGAATTCATTATTTTCTATTTTTTTTTCAAATCAACCAACCACCTTGATATTCGATACAAATTTGTAATACAAGGTGAAAAAAATGGTTTCAGGGGTGGCTAATATTAGATTTAAAAGAAGATACACTGAATTAACAGATTAATTTTAATACACAGTTTAAAATACAGTTTGTACTAATTGTGTTGACCAAAAAAATAAAATGCATCGTTATCATTTATATTTAATATGCTATGGTAAAAGGGACATTTTCTTCTCACAGAAAACAGAATATAATATTTACTGGTAGAGTAAGGCAAAATATTATTTTTTAAAGCAATTTTTGTACAATAATAACAAGTTAATTTATTTATTTTTTATTGTACATCATATAGCAATAGAAATAATGGTAGTACCTAATAACATCAAAAGATACACGTACATATTCAAGTTAAAATGAAATATAACTTAACCATAAATTTGAACTATCTATGTCTTAACTACAAAAAAATATTTCGCCGTTCAACTGAAAGATAGTAGCTGAATTAGTTTCATTTTATACCATTGAAATTTGTTTTTAAAAAGCATAGGTAATTTTCAATCTGGTTCGTATGTTATATTGTAATAATGAAAACATACAATCAGAATACTTCAACGGAAGGGTTTATAGTTTGATCCCCATGAAGGCAAACAACCAAAAAACATAATTTTAAAATGATGATGAAAAATGTTTTTTTAAAATATTATAAAAGTTGTTAACACTGCAGAAAAATAGGAGAATTTCGCTAAACTAATGAAAAAATAAAATTTAAATAAATAGCACAAAAACATTGACTTTTAAACGTCGTGAAAGTACCGGTACAAATGAGCAGATATTTATGAACAAAAAAAGGGGAATTACTACTAATAAGTTACAATTGTACATGTTGATTGTTAGATTTAACAGTCTTATTTAATAGCACTGAAAATAATATCACAAACTATGGGTACAATTCTATTTTAGAAAAACACGTAAGTAATAGACCGCATTGTCTAAAATGACGACATCAGCGAACGTCAAGTAATGCTTTTTTCTTAAGGGCTTATTGTATATACATGTTTAGATTTATTCTTTCTCAATATATATCTCATTAATTTTTTTGTGTATGGATTTTGAAAGAAATCAAGGGGATTGGCTTTATTTTATTTGAGCACCCCGCAATCAATATGCAGAAGTTAATAAATATTGTAATTGAAATTTGAAAAACTTGAAAAAAAAAATTACATTTTCCATCAATAAGTGCCTCGGAGACTAATGGGGTAATAATGAAAAAAATATTATAATAAAATTTTCGATATAATAAAATGTAACTTATATTTATTAGCAGAGATTCTAGGACATAGAGATGAAAAGGGAAGTGAGCATTGCTCAGGTCAAAAAATAAGTTGCTCAAATAAGCCGGACAAAAAATTAAAGTATATTTGCGGATCTTGTATTTAGGGATATAAAGCAGATATAGATCCGAAACTATGCAAAGATAATTTACTATATAATCTAGTAAGAGAAAAGTTTGAGCCAGCGGCAATGCGACTCTGTTTTCAAAAATTAATACAGATTTTTAATTCTGACATGAGCCGCAAAAAGCATTTTTATTTCCTTTTCGAAAATTTGTTCAGAAATTCTGCATTGTTCAGGCGAGATGTCACAAATGTTTTCTTAAATGTTTAGTATAAACCTTCGTCAGAAAGTACTCTTTAGATAATTCTGTTTCGTAATCATATTTAAAATATAATAGAAATGAATAAATAAAGATTTTGCTCTCAATATTAGATATTTTTCAAGTATATACATCTATAAACTCCACGGATGCATTAACAATAATTAGAAAGGACTTTATCTCGCAGGAACAATTTTTGTCTTTTCTTCTTATTCTGTTTTTTTCTTTACCAGTTTCTGCAGAAAGTGAGTTCCTCATTTTAAATAAAAGTTTAGATATAATCTTTCTTATTATTTATTTTGTTACTTTTTTTAGAACACTTTTGTAAGAAATCAAGCAGGCTGTTTTATTTAAATTGAGCACCCAGTAATATTTGGATAAAAGTTGATATCACTTGATTTAAACGAAAAATAATAATAGTTTCAACAAAAATAAGACCTCGGAAGCAAATATTCTATTATTGTAAAGAATAATTACAGTATTATCTCTTTACAATAATAGTTAAATATTATTTATTTGTAGAGAGTCTAGGATGTAAGGATGAAGGGGGAAGTGTAGACTGTTCCGATAAAAAAAATAAAAAAAAGTTGCACAAATAAGCCGGAAAAGAGATCGGAGTATGTTTGCGGTTCTGGTATTGATGGATATAGAGAAGACACTGAGACGAAACAATGTAAAGATATTATACACATTAATAAAAATAGGGAAGAGTTTCATCCGGCGTTAGTGCTTCTTTGCCTTATAAATCAAATACCAAATGTGGTTTTCAAATTTCACATAGGGCACAGGGAGCATTTTTTTCAAAATTCTAAAATATAGTAAAAATTTCTTCTTTGTTTGGGAGAGAGATGTCAGGAAAAAGATTTTTTTCTTAAATGTTTAGTCTTAACCATTGTCATAAAGTAATCTTTAGACAATTCTGCCTCTTTCACATTTATGAAATATGATAGAAAAGAATAAATAAAGCTATTGCCGTCAATATTACATATTTTTCAAGTATATACATCTATAAACTCCACGGATGCATTAACGATAATCAGAAAGGACTTTATTTCGCAGGAACAATTTTTGTCTTTTCTACTTATTCTGTTTTTTTCTTTTCCAGATTCTGCAGAAAGTGAGTTCCTCATTTTAAATAAACGTTTAGATCTAATATTTCTTATTATTTATTTTATCATATTTTTTTAAATACAATTTTTTTTATAAAATCATGGAGACTGTTTCATTTGAATTGAGCAACCTGTAATTTATTGTCAAAAGATGATAACATTTCATTTAAACAAAAAATATATCAATTTTCGTGAAAATAAGTCCTGAGAAGCTAATATTCTATTATTGTAATGAATAGTAACAGTATTAATTTTTTACAATAATAGTTAAACATTATTTAAACAAGATATAATATTAGGTTCAACAAAAATAAGACCTCGGAAGCTAATATTCTATAATTGTAATGAATATTAAGAGATTTATTTTTCACAATAAAAGTTAAATATTATTTACTTATAGAGGTTCTAGGATGTAGAGATAAAGGGGGAAATGAAGACTGCTCCGAAAAAAAAAGAAATTGCACAAATAAGCAGGATAAGGAATCGGAGTATGTTTGTGGTTCTTGTATTGATGGATATAGAGAAGACCCTGAGACGAAACTATGTAAAGGTAATATACATATGAATAAAAAAAGGCAAGAGATTCATTAGGCGTCAGTGCCTCTCTGTCTTTTAAATTAAATACCAAATATGATTTTCAAATTTCGACATTAACGGCAGGGAGCATTTTTCTCCAAATCTAAAATTTGTTCAAAAATTCTTCTCTGTTTAGAAGAAATGTCTAAAAAATGAATTTTTTCTTAAATATTTAGTATTATCATTGTCTTGAAGTAATCTTTAGAGGATTGTGTTTCTTTCACATTTGTGAAATATAATAGAAATGAATAAATAAAGCTTTTACTCTCAATGTTAAATATTTTTCAAGTATATACATGCTTAAACTCGACAGATGTATTATCAATAATCAGAAAGGACTTTATTTCGCTGTAACGTTTTTTGTCCGGTATTCTTTTTCTCTTTTTTTCCTGTCCAGATTCTTCCGAAAGTAAGTTCCTCATTTTAAATTTACGTTTAGATCTAATATTTCTTATTATTTATTTTATCATATTTTTTTAATTACAATTTTTTTATAAAATCAAGGAGACTGTTCTTTTTGAATTGAGCACCCTGTAATTTATTGTCAAAAGATGAAAACATTTCATGTAAACATAAAATATATTAATTTTCAAAAAAATAAGACCTCGAAAGCTAATATTCTATTATTGTAATGAATATTAACAGTATTATCTCTTTACATTAATTGTTAAATATTATATTTACTTGTAGAGGTTCTGGGATGTAGAGATGAAGGGGGAAAAGAAGACTGCACCGATAAAAAAAGAAGTTGCACAAATAAGCTGGAGAAAAAATCGGAGTATGTTTGCGGTTCTTGTATTGATGGATATAGAGAAGATACAGAGACTAAACTATGCATTGGTAATATACATAATAATCTAAAATTGAAAGAGCTTGAGCGGCGGTTTGTGTCTCTCTATCTTATAAAATTTAAACCAAATGTGAATTTGAAAATTCGACATTGACTGCAGGATCATTTTTATTTCTAATTTTTTTTCTTCTAAATTCCAACTTTGCTTATTAGAAATGTCTAAAAAATGAATTTTTTCGTAAATGTTTAGTATTAACCATTGTCAGAAAGTAAACTTTAGAGGATTCTGTTTCTTTCCCATTTATGAAATATAATAGAAATGAGTAAATAAAGCTTTTACTCTCAATGTTAAATATTTTTCAAGTATATACATGATTAAACTCGACAGATATATTATCAATATTCAGAAAGGACTTTATTTTGCTGGATCATTTTTTGTCCGGTTTTCTTAACCTGTTTTGATCTTGTCCAGATTCAACCGAAAGTAAGTTCCTCATTTTGAAAATGCGTTTAGATTTTATTTTCTTATTATTTATTTTATTACGTTCCTTTAGTAAAATTCTTATGAAAAAATCAAATTAAGAAGGGTGTTTTATTTCATCTCAGTTCCAAGTAATTGTTTGTCAAAAGATGATAACAAATGAATTAAACATTTAAAAATATTATTTTCAGCAAAAATAAGACCTCGAAAGCTAATGTTCTATTATTGTAATGAATATTAACAGTATTATCTCTTTACAATAATAGTTAAATATTATTTACTTGCAGAGGTTCTAGGATGTAGAGATGAAGGGGGAAATGAAGACTGCTCCGATAAAAAAAGAAGTTGCACAAATAAGCTGGAGAAAAAATCGGAGTACGTTTGCGGTTCTTGTATTGATGGTTATAGAGAAGATTCAGAGACGAAACTATGCATAGGTAATATACATAGCGTCAGATGGGATGACTTTGCGCATCGAGGGGTTACTTTGTGCGAACTGTCATTTTTTCGATTTTTGTGTCCTGCCATCTAGGGGCATTTTTGTAAGCTCAGTATCAACTTATTTGAGTCGACAACATAACGAACTAATGGTTTACCAAGTACTGGCAATGTAAATATCATCGTTCTCATAAAATTGTCAGCTCAAGTAAAAAACAGTTTCAAATTTTTTAACGTTGCAAAATCGGAGACTGGAACGTCTGCTTGGTTGAAGAAATTCTAGTTATCCGGGTCTGGAATGTAGGTTATACATTAAAAGTCTTATCAATTGAGATAAAAAATCATGTATATTTTTTGTTTTTACTTATTATAATGTTAGTTATTTAATAATTAACAGTTTACACAAAGTCTCCCTTCGTTTCACAAAGTCACCCCATCTGACGGTAATAATCTATAAAGGAAAGAGTTTGGTGGGTGTTTGTGCCTTTATATCGTATAAATTCAAAACTAAACGTGATTTTTATATTTCGACATTGGCGGCAGGAGCATTTTTATTTCCAATCCTAATTTTTTTTTTTCGAAATTCCAACTTTGTTTAGGAGATAAAAATGAAAATAAATATATGATGATGATTTTATAAAAATGATTTTTTTTCTTCTTAAATGTTTTGTATTTACCATTGTTATAAAGTGCGGAATATATATACGTAATATATATTATAATATACGTAATAATCCATAAAGGGAATAGTTTCAGTGGGCGTATGTGCCTCTCTGTCTTATAAATCCAATACCAAAAGGGATTTTCATATTTTGACACTGGCCAGAGGGAGCAATTTTTTCCCTATTCCAAAATTTGTTCAAAGTTTCTAATTTGTTTAGGAGAGATGTCTAAAAAATGATTTTTTTCTTAAATGTTTAGTATTAACCATTGTCATGAAGTAATCTTTGGAGGATTCTGTTTCTTTCACATTATAAAATATTATAGAAATGGATAAATAAAGATTATACTTTCAATATTAGATGTACTTCAAGAATATACATATATAAACTCGACGGATGTATTAGCATTATCTAGAGAGGACTTATTTTCGCTGGAACATTTTCGTCCTTTTTCTTATTCTGTTTTTTTTTTGCTGTCTACGCTCAACAGAAAGTGAGCTCCTCATTTCAAGTTTACGTTTAGATTTAATCTTTCATAATATTTATTTTATAAATTTTCTTAGTGCAATTTTTGCAAAAAATAAGGAAAGCTGTTTGATTTGAATTTTGCGCCGCGTGATTTATGGTCAAAAGGTGATGGCATTTGATTTAAATAAAAAAATATATATAATTTTACAAAAAAATATGACCTCGGAAGCTAATATTGTATTATTGTAATGAATATTATCATAATTATTTCTTTATAATAATAGCTAAAAATTATTTAGTTGTAGAGATTCTGGGATGTAGAGATGAAGGGGGAAATGAAGACTGTTCCAATAGAAAAAGAAGTTGCACAAATAAGCCGGAGAATAAATCGGAGTATGTTTGTGGTTCTTGTATTGATGGATATAGAGAAGACACTGAGACGAAACTATGTAAAGGTAATATGCATATAAATAAAAAAAGGGAAGAGTTTCATTGGGTGCCAGTGCCTCTCTGTCTTATAAATCAAATACCAAATGTGATTTTCAAATTTCGACATTGGCCGCAGGGAGCATTTTTTTCCCAATTCTAAAATTTGTTCAAAATTTCTTCATTGTTTAGGAAGGATGTCTGAAAAATGATTTTTTTTTCTTAAATGTTTAGTATTAACCATTGTCATAAAGTAATCTTTAGATGATTCTGATTTTCAACATTCTTGAATTATAATAGAAATGAATATATAAAGCTTCTGCTAATAATAATAGATATTTTTCAAGTATATACATTTATAATTTCGACGGATATATTAGCAATAATCAGAAAGGATTTTGTTTCTGAAGAATATTTTTTGTCCTTTTATCTGATTTTGTTTTTTTTTCTGTCTAGATTCTACAGAAAGTGTGTTCCTCATTTTAAATATACGTTTAGATTTAATCATTCTCAATATTTATTTTATTAGTTTTTTTGAGTAAATTTTTTTTTGAAAATCAAGAAGGCAGTTTTATTTGAATTTAGGTTCCAGTAATTTTTCGTCAAAAGGTGATAACATTATTTAAAATGTATATATATGTGGGGACGGCATGAGTGATCGTCTTTGAAAATGAGAGACACTGTACTTTAACAAAACATATACTAAACGCTAAATTTACATAAAGATGGAAGATAAACAAACACATAAATAACACCAAAATAGAAGAGTTCGTCTTCGTGAAGTTAAAAGAAAATTATCAATGCTACTCCTCTCTGGAATCCATAAGCGTCTCCTTTTTGGTTTGATCCACAACGCGCTCCCGTGTCTCTCGTGTCTTAGGGAAAATCGGACGGAGTCTAACTTGCAGCTTACATAATCTGGTTGGATTTCTAGCTAGATCAGCTTACAGCACAGGAACTGGCACTATAGATCGGAACTGACACTACAGATAGGGACTGGCACTACAGAATCGGCCATCCTGCATTTCGGCTTGTCCTCCTGCGACTCTAAAAAGAATAAAAAAGAAGGAGCAGAACAGACTGAAAAATAAAATTGATAACTGAAAAATAAATGTTTTAGGTTAGTATCTTTCATAAAAAAATCTTTCGAGTAAGAGTCAATCGGTTCAGGCACGTTCACTCTTCTGTCTTTACAAGTCTTTTGTTTCCTCTTCAACAATTCTTCCTTAACATCTTTCGTCCTTTTTTTTCTTTAACGTCTTTCGTCTTTTTTTTTCTTTAATGTCTTTCGTCTTTTTTTTTTCATTAACGTCTTTCGTCTTTTTTTTTCTTTAACGTCTTTCGTCTTTTTTTTTGACATCTTTCGTCTATTCTTTTCTTTAACGTCTTTCGTCTTTTTTTCTTTAACGTCTTTCGTCTTTTTTTCTTTAACGTCTTTCGTCTTGAACTTCTTCTACGTCTTTAAATTCTTCTACTTCTTTAAAGTCTTTCGTCTTTAAATTCTTTTGTCTTCTTTTACGTCTTTCGTCTTTAAATTCTTTTGTCTTCTTTAAAAAAATCAAATTCACTTCTTTAGCAATTATTTTTCATTTTCAAAAATTACCGTCTTTATTTTTTGTCTTGGCAAGCACTAAAATTTTTCTTGGCAACTGCTCCATGATTTAACATACTCCGCACACGTTGTCGAGCAGTTGGATCCTTCGTGATTCCCTTCTTTTACTACATCATAGGTATTTCCTCCTTTTACTCTTGTTATTTTGTAAGGGCCAAGGTACTTAGGTTTTAGCTTCAAATGAGGTCCAAATTGGGTTCTTTTGATGGCGACCAAATTTCCAATTTCGTAGGATTTTGGCTCCTTTCTTCTTAAATTATAGGTCTTTTTATTTTCTTGTTGAATTTTAAAAATTTGTTGCTTTGCGTTTTTTCTTAGTTCCTCTCTTTGGGCATCAAAATGAGACTGAAATTCACTTTCGATCATTTCCTTTAGTTTTCCCAGTCCATTAGTGTTCATTTTTGTCCCAAAAAGCAATTCAAATGGAGTAGTGTCTATGCTTCTTTGATAGGTTGAATTTATCGCTTGTTGAACTTTATTTGTATGCTTGTACCATTCAGCTGGATTTTCTATGGATAATTTTGAAAGAATCGATATGATGGTTTGATTAATACGCTCTACTTGTCCGTTAGCTCTTGGTAAACCTGTTGTTATTAAATGATGTTTAATATTTTCTTTCGAGCAATAATCAGCAAATTCACTGGAGGTAAATGTTGTACCCCTATCTGAAATTATCTGGGAAGGACTTCCAAATACAGTTTTTTGGATTTCTAATTTGGNGATTGCTAATAAAGTTTTCCGTGGATGTTGTCACTTTTGAGTTATCAAAAAATTCACCAGGAAGTTTAATGCATTTACCATAAACCATCTGAGATATTGAATAGTTGGTGTCATCGCGTAGAGCAGCTCTGAGACCAAGTAAGACAGTAGGAAGAGTTTCAGACCATTTAATAGAGTTGTGTGCCTTTATTGCAGTTTTCAATGTACGATGTTGACGCTCAATTTTGCCATTGCACTGAGGATGATATGCAGTTGTTCTGTTGATTTTTACTCCACATAAGTTGGTAAGAGATTTAAACGTTTCAGAATCAAACTGTGATCCTCTATCGGTAATTACTCTGTATGGCACTCCAAATCTAACTATCCAATTTTCATAGAAACATCTGGCGACTGTTTCAGCTTTGATATCAGGTATAGGAACTACTTCTATCCAGCTTGTAAAACGGTCAATACAAGTCAAACAGTATCTGTTTCCATTGGATGGGGGTAACGGTCCAATTAGGTCAATATGTATCTCGTTAAATCTTTCATCGGGTTGTTGATATTCTCCAAACTGGGATTTAGTATGTTTTGAAATTTTGTTTTTTTGGCAATCAATACAGGATTGTGCCCAAATTCGAACATCTTTTCGAATTCCAGGCCAAATAAATCTTGACGCTATCTGTTTGATAGTTGATCTGATTCCTGGATGAGATAAACCATGTATCAGTTTGAAAATAATCATTCTTGAATTTTTAGGTATATATGGTCTAATTTTATTAGCAGAGATATCACACCATAGAAATTTACCAGACTGTAGTGGTTGTTGTTTAAATTTTAAGGTTGTGTCTGATTGCATTAGTTGTTTTAATTCTTCATCACTACTTTGATCATCAGCAATTTTCTCATAATCTACACTAGTTACTTCTTGAATTCGGGATAACGCGTCTGCGACGATATTATTTTTGCCAATAATGTGTTGAAGGTTAGTCGAAAACTGGGATATGTACTGGAGATGTCTATTTTGTCTTGGAGATGCTTTTTCATTTTTTTGTTTGAAGGCAAACACCAGTGGCTTATGGTCTGTAAATATAGTAAATTCTCGACCTTCTAATAGATGTTTTACAGAAAGATATATCCCTAATAATTCTCTGTCGTAGGTACTATATGATTTCTGTGTATCATTTAAAATATTTGAATAGAAAGCTATCGGTTTCCAAGCACCATTTTCGTATTGTTCCAATACAGATCCGATTGCGAAATCTGAAGAATCTGAGCAAAGGCATAGAGGTAATTCAAACTTCGGATATGTTAGCAAGGCTACATAATAAGTCTTGTTTGCATTTTTCAAACATGTTAATAGCTTGTCCACATTATTTTTCTTTTGTCATTTTTATGAGCTCCTTTCAAATATTCGTGGAGAATTACTTGTGTTTTAGCAGCGTCTTTGATGTATCGTCTATAATAGTTTATTAGACCAAGAAAGGTTCTCAGTTCACGTATAGTTTTTGGCAACTTGTAATTATGGATTGCTTCTACTGTTAGGGAAAGGGGCTCAGATCCTTCCAAACTGATTTCATATCCCAAAAACTCCAATTTCTCCACAGCAATGACTGACTTGGAGATATTAATTCTGAGGCCATATTTATCTAATTTATCAAAAAGTTGCTTTAAATGAGATTGATGCTCTACTTTGTTTCGAGATGCCACTAATATATCGTCTACATAAGGAAAAACGAAATCAAGTCCACACAGAACGTCATTTATGAAGCGTTGAAACGTTGAAGGTGCATTTCTGAGGCCGAAACTCATAACGTTGAATTCAAAGAGTCCGAAAGGGGTAATTATTGCAGTTTTTTGTTTGTCCTCTTCATTTATAGGAAGTTGATAATAAGCTTTAAATAAATCGAATTTAGAAAATACTTTGGTGTCTTTTAAAATATGATTGAAATCTTCGATTCTTGGTATTGGATATCGGTCTGGTATTGTTTGGTCGTTTAGTCTTCTATAATCTCCACATGGTCTGTAAGACCCATCCTTCTTTTTAACCATATGTAATGGACTTGCCCAGGGCGATTTTGAAGGTCTAATAATCCCGTTGTCTAGCATGAATTGAAATTCTTCTTTGGCTATTTTCAATTTTTTTGGATCTAATTGTCGTGCCTTAGAAAACACAGATTTTCCCGTTGTGGTGATAAAATGTCGAATTTCATGTTCAGCATCACTAATTAATACGTTTGGCTGAGTTAAATTTGGATATGAAGAGAATAATTCAGAAAACTTAGAATTTTTATCCATAGTGGAAATTGTTTCCGTCATGCATATTGAAGAAACTTCTCCTTTAACTATTAAATTGGTTACTCCATCAATTAATCTTTTTTCTTTAAATAAATTAATAAATCAATCAATAAATTAAACTTATTAAGGAAATCGGCCCCTATTATTCCTTTATTAATTTTGCTATAATAAAGGGGAAATTAAATTAGCGGCGAGGTCCTAAATCAACAGTTAATATTTTGATTCCATAGGTTGTAATCTCGGATCCATTTGCTGCATATAGTTTAAAATCTTCTATTGTTTTATTTCGAGTGAGAGTTGCAGGTATGAGACTAACATCAGCTCCTGAATCAATTAAAAATCGTAAACCTGACTTTTTATCCTTTACAAATAATCGGAACTGGCGGCTTTCATTAACATCAGCAACAGTTGTAGCCGCTA